AAAGGAATCTTGTTTCGACGAGTCAGTCGATTCGTATGAAATGGATCGATTGGAAGATTAGAACGATCCGCTAATACTGTAAGCTCTCTCTCTCAAGATGCACCAAGGAAGATGAATTTGGAGCTTTCCTCGAGCGGAAGTTTGGCAAAGATACTTGACCGCTTCGAATCTTAGGAATACTACGTAACATTGTCCCTCCGCGTCTATGGTCTTAGTTATCAAAGTACTCTTTCTTTTTTCTAGTTTAATAAACAAGAAATATCCGAGTCATTCTTAGAATTGTCGTCGAAGAGGAAAAGAAAAAAGGAGAAACATAAAGAAAAATTCCTTCCTACTATATAACCAAGATGAAATTGTTTTTCCTAGAGCCGATCTTACGAGGACGTACTTTCTTCTTTTCCTTATTCTTTTTCCTAACCTCCTCGTAATCGTAAGTACCTTGACGTTAACGCGAAAACTTTCCAAAAGTATCGTTCCCCATTGCCTTTCTTTAACACTTCTCTCTATACGTAAAGTCCGTGCCTTCGGTAACGCAGGAATTTCGAATCGAATCGAATCGTTTCATCTCCAAACTTCCTTTCTTACCCTTTCCCGTTCCGTTCGATTTCCAATGCATGCAACACCTCCACTATTTTGCGAGAGTTTCTCTTGCGAGCTGAGAAAGTCCGATCCTATAGGCCTTTTATCTTATTAGCTCTTGGAAAAATTTCTATGCTTGAGCGTGGTTTGAACGGTAACCATTTCTGAAGGTAAATAAGTTCTCCCATTTAATATAATCCCGTGTATCTGGTCTCTTCATTAAAATGCAAAATTCAGTGCAATTGCCCGTTCGCGAGATCAACGTTCCAACATCTTTCTTTCATTCTTTCCCATTTCGTTTTTTCTTTACGCCCTTTAGGTACGTTTCAACGCTAAGTGTTCGTAATATTTTTTCACCGGGATACGAGTTTATACGCGCGCCCGAATGAAGCCACTATTTTTATCCACCTTCAACCTTTCTCTCTTTTTTCTTCTCACTTTCTCCCACGGTCGTACCTCTTACGGTTCTTAGAACCGCCGCTCCACTTAGTTTTCGTAGTCAGGATGATAGTGGGGAGAGAGTTGAGGATAGTAGGCGAGGGTAGATGGGATAAAAGAATCGCCATTTAACGGGAGAAAAATGTGCTCGACTGATTAAAGAGCTAAAGTAGGATCCATGGAAGAAAGTTTTCTTTGCTTAAAGAAACGCTAAGAAATGATCAACTTATTTTTTCCCATATTTATAGGAGAACTTTTATTATCGTCATTGTTTAGTATGATTTCTCGTCGTTCCTGCTATCGCACTTTTTATTATTACAAGTATTAATTATAGTATTAAGCTTTCATTATCGATGGAAGGTATTTAGTTGTTTGAAATTCGATTATCTTTCATATTCTTCACGATTCGCTATCTTCACGCTACCTTGACGCGCTATTTCTTCTTCCTACCGGGAGAATTAACCGACACAACGTGAGCAAGTAACTTCAAGGGATGAATCAAGTACGCGAGTTGCATTAATTAACTCGCTTGGCAACGAAACCGAGTTTAACTAGTTTCTAACGCTTTTTTGTGAAAACGGTATTATACGTTATATGTATATTGTTTTCGGTATAACTGCGCACCACCTTGTTGACACGCCGTCGTATAAGAATGTAATATTACTCTTGCATTCAGTTTATATAATGTAAATAAAATGGTGTAGTAGTATATAAAGGAATGCAACGAAACTAGGATCGTAGGGGATACTGAACAATTTATCTATTTGCCTACATTTATGTATACACGAAGCATTTTATATTCTCTTTAGAAAAATGTCTTATTTTATCGTGCATACATAGAGTTCATATTCCTTCCTTTTTTTTTTTTTTGCTGTTTTCTTTATTTCCATAAATAAAGAAAGAAAGTGGAATAAAAAGGTAAAAAATGCGAAATACGCAGTGTACATCGAAAAAAGAAGAGAGAGAAGTATTTACAGTGACCCGAGCATTACAAGAAGTGAAGTTACTTCGATACTTTTCAAAGGAACACGTAATTACGTCCACGTCAAAGGAATTGTTTCAAAATCAAACGGTCGCTTGTATGGAAAGCACTGTGTTAAGAATCGAAACATTCGTGGAATTCCATTTGGGCGGGGGTCATATTGATCGAACGAGCACGTAATTGAAAAACTTTTTGTCTTTGACAACAATAGGTTGTTTCGTCATTACCACTACCATGAATAGCATCGAAAATGTCATCGTTGCTACGATCGTAGCCTTTTTTTTTTCTTTCCCATTTGATTCTCGATATTTTAATATTTGGCTCATGACGTTGTTAAACGCGACGAAATTCCAGGAACGATATCGCAAATTCCGTGCTCTCGCGAAACTTGGAGAGCAGCAGTCGCTCGATTTCCGATTTATTCAAACGTAATTCCGTCCGGCTGGCATAGTTTCAGATCTGCAGATGAACTCGACTCGTTCTAGCGAATCTCCGTCTCTCTCTCTCTCTCTCTCTCTCTCTCTCTCTCTCTCTCTCTCTCTTTTTGTTTGATCCTTTATCTCTTAGTGGAATATCGAGGCGAGGATAAAAATCGGTCGGAAACGTTTCTACAAGGTTCTCGGTCTCGCGGGATTCACTGATCCATCCCTGTCGAGGGTGAGGAACGAGAGGTGGGAGTACTCGAGGAGAAGCGAAAGGATATATGAAACACGCTCGGTTCTAACTTTTTCCAAAGTCTGGTCGAGTCAATGTGGTAACTAACGCTAGCAGTCCTTCGAAGCTCTCCTAACCTCTCCGGCAATCATCTCGGTAACGTCACGCCGTAACCGGCTTCTCTAGTCTTTCAAACGTATTTGAGTCCGGCAATAACCGGCGGCTGGAACTCGCAACACGTTCGTCCGCAATAAGTTTGGTCATTGCGCCGATGCGGCCCGCTCGAGGAAATTAAAACTTGTGCAATTCGGTTGGATCCGTAGGCAACTCCCAGCGGGCTTATCAGCACTTGGTTCTTCGGTGCTATCAAACGAGCGCGGCACCCACAACGATACGCGAGCAATAATGAGAGAGAAGAGACCTATCTAAACTAGGAAGCGTGCGCACCCCTTGGGTAATCTTCATTTCTAAACTGTTACCAACGCTTTTCGCGATCCTATGCAACACCAGTTCTGACTTTTGATCGGTGAAAAATTCCAACCGACCATCCTCGACTTCCATTGCTTATTTCTCCCCTGAGGCATTTCGTTAGAGAAAGCACCTGTTCGCCAGCCAGACTTTTTCGATGAAATTCTCGAGGGCCGTAAGCGATTTTTCAATTTAATGAGCAACTTATTCCGCCCGATGTTCCGCATTGATGCGAAAACGCGTGAGATCGATCAGCAAAATACGTTTTAACCATCGGCCCCGTTTTTTCAAAACAAGCTAAGCAAGTCGGGAGGGAACGAGAGGGTACGAGAGAGTACGAACAAAGAGAGAGAGAGGGTAGATTGGATCGATGTACAGCAATTATCGTCTACGACGACGACGACACGCGATCGTTGCTTTTATCTACGTGCGTTCCACGTTATTTTAATCCTAGCCTTCTCTTTTTATCGACTATTAAGTGAGAATATATTGGAAAAGTCATGATAATCTACGCGTAAAATAATGTGATTTATAACGGTAACAATCTATATATATCTTATGCAAGATTTTCATTGCCTTTTTTTCGTCGTAATAACCTAAGCGTACATTAAACTTTTATTTTTGTATAGAATTTGGAAATAATTACTCTTTGTCGCTCGATATATAACCACGTAATTATGTTGAATAAACCAAAAGCTTTGGAATCGGTCAGTCATGTCGATGTGCACGAATGGTAATATTACCAATTACACTTTCGCCCGACGTAACACCGATTTCGTCGATCATTATATACATAATTCAAAGCGAGCTTGCACTGTATAAATCTCTGTATGTTTGTTCGCGAAATCGGACCAGCTGTTTAAATCGAGTCACTTACATAGAATATGCAGCGACCTTTAGAGGATAAAGCTTGTATTTTGTAGTACAAATGTAAAGGGTGGGTTGGGGTTTCATCAAATCATAAAAAGTTTGGAAAGAATAAGCCATAAGCGTGTAGGAGATGGAAAAAAAATGTTTGCATTCGATGGGGGAAAGAAAAAAAGGTTGGGATGTCCTATGGGCTAAAGTACGATCGTACTTAGGAGGAAACACGAGGGTCCTCCGTACTTGGTAAAAGGGCGCTTGCGCTAAAAGTCGTCGCGGGAGGGGAAGCTCGAGGAAGGAGAGGAGGTAGCGAAGGGGTGGAAGCTTCTGCGGAAAACGGAGAATCTACGGGAGTCAGTGCAATTCGCGTCGCGACGCTCTTCGTTCCCCCGGTCCGTACTCGAATGACAAGAAAAGCTTTCCTTCCGCCTTCGCCCTTATTTTCACTCCATTTTTCCAACAAACATTTCCCTCTGTTTCGTCGGGTATGCCGATCGCCGCGAGTGTTTTATCTAAAAGTTATAAAGTTATCTAAAATTTATTTTTCCACTTGAAATATAATATTATCGATCCTCGTGCATGATAAATCATTTTTTACGTTTACGTACGAATCCATTTTACTTTCTCGTTTGTAAGAAGAATAAAACAAGAAATGAGATTAGGAGAGGCAAATAATAATTTGAATCGTCAAACGGAACTATATTTATCTTTCCCTTTCGGTGACACGTCGCGTACGCAAGTTCAATATTATTGGAAGAACCGCGACGACGAACTACTCGAAGTAAATTTATAAGACACGAACTTTCCATCTACCCTTATATTTCTCCATCGTCTCTTACCTTTTCTCTTTGACAGCCTTCTTCTTTTACTCTTTCACCTCGACCCTTGGCTTGCTTTAAAAGGGTCTTTTACTTTTCTCGAACTTTGCTCTCTCTCTCTCTCTCTCTCTCTCTCTCTCTCTCTCTCTCTCTCTCTCTCTTTCTTTCTTTCTTTCTTTCTTTCTTCATTTATTTCTTTCTATCCCACGCTCTCAAGTTTTCGATTAAATTGCATTGAAAACTCAATTCTTAGCGAGTAATAATAATGATCGGAAGCTCTTACAACAATTATGAATGTAGAAACTTTGCGGGAGAACCTTTGAAAGTTAGTTTCTATTCGACGTCTTGTCCCGTGGTCTATCTTTCTCCCTCTTTCTTACCCTCCCTCCCACCCCCTTCCTGTTAAATCTGGTAAACGCGAAGGAGTAATCAAAATGCGCATATAGTTCGCGTAAATCGATCGACGAAACTTCTCGTGTTTACGATGATTCGGAAAGTTATCAATTTTTCAACTTGGTTACGCGCGTTTTATTGATAAACAGTGTAATACTTAAATAAAACGTGTACCTTTGTTAAATATCGGAATATTATGAATTCGCATTTACGCAAGGAAAACGATCGAATGGAAAACAATAACAGCATGTGAATGGTCTCAACCCTTTCTGCATTAATAAACATCCCCCCGCATTGTGATTGAAGAGTATACTTTTGAAAAGAGTGTTTATCGACAAACTTTGATTTGGTTCTACGCGTAAATACGAGCTTTCCAGAATTACTGTTAATCCTTCTCTGTTAATCAATTTACGAGGACCTATCTTGCATCTCTATCGAATGTCTCCGAGGAGAACTTTGGATATAATTAAAGGGTAAGTTCTTGCTATTTGCTAAGAATTTCATCCGAAATTGAATTATTTTATCTCAACCTCTCTCTCTCTCTCTCTCTCTCTCTCTCTCTCTTTCTCCCTTTCTCTATCATTCTTATCGTTTTACTTAAAAGTTAAGTTTGCATAATCGTCTAGTATCTTGCGGAAGGACAACGTACAAACGATTAACTTTCCAAAGTTGAACATTTTTATTATTCTCGACTACATCGATCGATCATCCTTTCTCTCTCTCTCTCTTTCTCTCTCTTTTTCTTTTAGAATGGAATCAAAGTTTTATTAAAATTCTTCAACCTTTCGAGGAGAACAAAATGACAAAGACAATGTTCTTTTTTATTTTTTCTTTCTTGGTTAAGAACGATAGCCATGCCTATTTATTAATCATGCATCCTACTTGACTTATTAACTAATTAACAGAAATAATCGTAAAATGTCAAGGTATCCCTTTAATTCCCTTTCGTGATCTTAATTCTCGGTAGTAATTCGCAGTCATATTTCACGTCGTTAGAAAGGTACGGTAATGATGGTAAATTATCCGTAAAATTGCAATCGTTAGCTTGATGTTTGCCTTCTTTAACAAGATATTCCCTAAACGATGAAAGCATTTTTTGGGTTTTATATATAAATACGCTCTATTAAAGTATTTTGTTAAATTTTGGTTTTCTCCGAGTATCGTTATAAATACATCGATGTACACTTAAAGAGTAAATGAGTTGGAATGAAATCGAGGGAAAAGCTTTCATTAACGTCATGTGCCATTTCGCGTGTCGATAATCTCTAAAGCCGTTGCAATTTTAATGCAATCGACCAATACCGAAAAAAACCTACATTGTGTAAATGAAGTGGGAGATACGCTCGATAATTATAAACGATAATTGTTCTAGACTTAAATCGGAATAATTATATATCCTCTCTCAGCTAGAAACTAGTTTCAACCACATTGAGAACTAGACTACACGTATTAGTCTTATGTAATTATGTACGAAACATCGATTTACCGATAATTAGCCGTAACTTCATTAAAATCGGTAATCTTCATTAAAAAAAAAAAAAGAAAAACATTAATGAGATTCGTAAACCAATTTAATGTAATACGTAATTTTACAGTTACAATATATAAGTACAAAAAAGAAATTCTCTATTTGTATGTTCTACGAAATGGATGATCATTGTCTGCAATGAAATTCAGGAATCAATCTCACAACTTTCAACGAAATTGTTCCATGGGAACATCGAACGAACTTTTGTTTTATATAAAGCAGGGCATAGGAAATAAATACAATTTATTGTAGTGTTCGCTTAATGCTCGCGCGCGCGCAATTCCATGCGTTAAACGTAACAGAGTGTATCGTCGAGCGCTTTTATCCAACTAACTCGACATAACGAGAAATTAGCTGTGAAATAGGCTCTAGTCGAGTCCTACCTGACTTTATAATTGGATGCATCGGTTAAAAACCGCCCGCCCGCGCGCGCGCGAGAGGGAGAGAGAGAGAGATAGAGAGAGAGAGAGAGAGAGAGAGAGAGAGAGAAAGTCACGTACACGCGTTTGTCCTACCAATTATTACAGTTAGTTATATACATAACCGAGGAAAGAGAAGATCGATGGGCGAGGTTTCTTCCTCATCGACGATATATATTTTCCCTCTTTTCTTCTACTCGTATAACACCCTTAAACGCATTAAATCACTTTCCAAGAGATGGAAGAAACGATCCCTAACTACGGCCGCCACTCCGTAAAATAATTTCCGAACAAAAGGCCACGAAGACGAAATAAACTTGAACGACTTAATGGATGATTTTTTAATCAAAGATTTCGATCGAACAAGGAACGAGAGCGCACAGTTTTTGTTTTTTTTATTTTTTATTTATAATTATTATTAAACGATCGAACGAATTATTGTTCGAACGATCCGAGAAAGTTTTTAAAAGATAATTGATGACAAAGTAATTACTAAAATGGATTAACGTGGAACCGATTTGTAGAACCGTTCTTCAATGACTGCGAGTAAATTTAAGCATGTTCTTTCTATATCTATTTCAACGTATTTCATATATTCCTATGCCGATATATAATGGGTACAAACATTTTACGAGCACGTTATTTACTATATGAAATAACTTTTAATAGACTGGAAAGTAAATTCCAAAGTATTGAGTAAATGTAGAAAAATCAATATGGTACGTGAGGTAAGCGAAAAAAAAGAAGAAGAATTAATATTTTAAAATTATATTTTTCTTTTTGTTGCAGCAGTGATAAACTTGGAATCATTTTTATATTTTCTTTTGATTATTTGTGACTATTTAATAAATGTAACGTTGAGGTAAACAAGTTATTTAAGGGAATTTCTGCAAGCGAAGAACTTGTCTGCGTGATTACGAGTTTCTCGTATGCAATTGGTTTGTCACTCTCTTTGTTTCTCTCTCTTCCATTTATATTACATACATATACTTCCTTTATTGCAATGCATCCGATGATGTGAACAAACTATATCTATGGTCAATTCAGAAACGGTAAACGACGCTCAAGTTTTGGTGTGCATTGCAACCTCCTGACCATAACACTTTCCAAATGGAGCACGATTACCAGTGTTATGCTACAAGCATATCTCAGTGGTTTGGTATAATCGCTATTTCTATGACTAGAAATATTGCGAATTTAAATTTAATTGGATTTCGCAATGTATAAACTTGAACATTATCGCGATACGCAGAAAATGATAGGGAAAAAGATAAGATCGACGGGCAAAGTGGTGCCGGCACCCGTATGACAAAGTTCAACGCGAACGATGTACAAATTTCCGTTTATTATATTATATCATTGCAATTCGATATCTACGAACATATATTTCCCTGATATTACTATGATGTAAAATCTGTCGATACATTAACGGTCCAATCAACTCTTACCGACGTACTTTGTGAATATCAATGCGAGCGAGAACGTAAGCCAAACCAGTCTTGCAGCAAAACAGTCAGGTACATGACCGCCTATTGCCTGTCAATCCATGTCATTGCGTCTGTAACGACAGGGTTCGTCCTTTGTGAAGGACAACGCAACCGTGTGGTTTAACGCTAGACCGCGTTGATGTCAATTAAAGTTAAGCAGCTGCAAGAGATGGACTTGGTCAAACGAATCGATTAAAACAATACATATATTAATCGGATGACAAACTAAGAGATAGTTAAACAAACGTTATCGACAATTCCTAATTCGTCATCGTTGTTATTTTACCTCTTACACATTTTTCGAAATTCACAAAATTCCTCGAGGACAACGAAATATATAAATATTTGCGGTTGACGTAGATGTTCGTTTCGATGAGAACAGAGGTGTAAAAGTTCAATCTTTTGCTCTTTGACCAATAAATTAGCCGATCCGATAAATTCGTCAAAATGAAAACCTATTTATCCTGGGAGTAACATTTCCAATTAGATTTACGATAGGATAGAAATATATCTTAGATAATTATCCTGTCGAAATGTTGCCGATAGGCTGCAGAGACTCCGCGTAACATTTTTGTCCGTCGTAAAGTTCTTAACTACGGTTAAAGCAGTTATTCTGGTATAAGAGAATTATTTATAATGATAAATGTAAATTGTTAGAGGATGAAATTAATTAGACGAAGCTCGTCAATCAAATCGTTTGCAGTTGGTAACGAGCACGCAACGGGTTATTGATCGATATACGGCAAACTAAAATATTCATTTGTTGTAACGTACCGGATACAAGTGCGCATATACGTCCACGCGTTTGAATAATTCTCTCACGGTTTTGGCCGGAGCTTAACGTCGATCGCACGTAAATCACGAAAATCGTAGGTTTCGATTTTTCCCGATATTTCGATAACGAAATCCATGGGAGTTACGAGAGTACACGAAGATGAGAAAAGAAGAGAAATTTAGGGATAGAAGGACAGTGGTTCGTTTCTCTCGTGGAAATTCGCGAAATGGTGGTGGGGGATGGGTTGGGACGAAGGATAGAAAGGAGGAGGCACGCGCGCAACACAATACACGAACCTTTCACAGGGCGTCTATAAATTGGTACGCTACGAGGACAATTCAGCGGAGTCGGCTTGCACCGGGTTAATTTAATTTAACCGCTGCAGGATTTGCTGCCAGCATTCTCCGTCGTGGCTCGCGTTAAAGACGCGTACGTACCATAAATGCTTTCACAATTTTATACTATCGAACATTTACAAATAATATGATATAATAATAGAATTTTTTCAAAGAACCCTTTGTCGACGTTACCAAAATGATTTTCACTTATCTTGTTTTTTTCGCGACAATTACTATACAAGGGGTTTTTTTTCTCCATAGTAACTGTTATTAAAACCGTAAATAAGTATATTCACTCTTTCTCGCAAGCTCATGCGCGACCGGCGTTAATTAAACCGACGAATATCTCAACCGTTCTCTTGTAATAACTTACTATTCATTAAGCGCCTAACCACTTAATCTTGTCGTAGCATGAATGGCTACTGTGAATTTTTATGTACAGACCGTCAGCTTCAATGGCCGCTGTTTTCACCCTCAGAATTAAATCGTCGACCCGTGGTAATCGTTTATGCTGCTTTATGGAGAAAAGCGGAGGATGAACCATCCGTAACGTAGCGCAGCTTTTTTTTGTTCATAGACATCTTTCGACAGAGGTCCAAGTGATTTCGTTTTCTTTAACAAACAGAACGAAAAGCAAAAAAAAGGAAACCTTGTTCACGGAGGAACGGTAATTTCAATATTGGAAAAAGTACGTTCCGAAGTCGAAGTAAATCTTCTCTCGGGATGGTGTGTAAATAAATTCTTTCGCTGTAGTGGGTTACTATTTTGGATTTATTCTATAGAAAAGCATACAGCAGGGCGTTTACGTATACGTACGTACCGTACGTACACGTATGACATTTGCATTCGTGTATTTTTCATGCGACCCATATAAAATAGCGCGGGCACATACGTTTGCCCATGAAAGATTTATCCTTACGAATCGT